AAAATCAAAATATGCAACTTTATGACAGAAATTATTGGAAATTGGCTTGCATTAGCTTAAAATGTTTCAATGCATTCATATTTAAGTTACCAGTTGGTAGGCTCTGTTGTCATCATCGCAGTTTATTTTTGCTTTTTGTACCCTTTGTGGATCCGGTTTGGGAAGTGCCAGCTTTCTTAGCCTCGCTCTGGGGAGCCCCCTTCTTAGCTGTTTCTTTATCTTGCTCTTTTTTCTTTTGTGCTTTCGCTCCAGGTTTCGCTTCTTTCCCCAGTTTTGGTAGCGGCTTCAGTTTACTCTTTTTTACCTCCTTTTCTTGATCAACTTGAGAAGAACCAGCTTCCTTGTCTTTTTCGAGAATTTCACCTTTTTTTCCTTGTGATTTTCCTTTCTCTTTGTCATGTTGCTCGTCACGTCTGACTTCTTCTTGGTTCTTCTTCTCTTGCCGTTCCCTCTCCTCTTGCTCTTTCATGGCTTCCTCTGAGTTTTCTTCTGGTTGTTCGTCATAAGTTGTTAATTTGTTTACGTCTTCGCCTGGCAGTGATCCCGTTGGTGACTTTGTGGATACGGTTTGGGAAGTGCCAGCTTTCTTAGCCCCGCTCTGGGCAGCCCCCTTCTTAGCTGTTTCTTTATCTTGCTCTTTCTTTTGTGTTTTCGCTCCAGGTGTCGCTTCTTTCCCCATTTTTGGTAGCGGCCTCGGTTTACTCTTCTTCTCTTCCTTTTCTTGCTCAACTTGAGAAGAACCAGCTTCCTTGTCTTTTTCGAGAATTTCACCTTTTTTTCCTTGTGATTTTCCTTTCTCTTTGTCATGTTGCTCGTCACGTCTGACTTCTTCTTGGTTCTTCTTCTCTTGCCGTTCCCTCTCCTCTTGCTCTTTCATGGCTTCCTCTGCGTTTTCTTCTGATTGTTCGTCATTAGTTGTTAATTTGTTTACGTCTTCGCCAGGCAGTGATCCCGTTGGTGACTTTATGGATCCGGTTTGGGAAGAGCCAGCTTTCTTGGCATCACGCAGTTGAGGGGCCGTCTGCTTAGATGTTATCACAATTTGTAATTTCGTCTTGTTTCCCTCCGACGTTTGCGGTGGTCTCGATCCTTCTGATGGGCCATCTTTAAAATCACTTTTTTCCTCAGCTTTCTTGGCCCCGCTTTGAACAGCCCTCGTGTTAGCTGTTTGTTCCTCGTCCTCTTTTTGTTTTTGTGCTTCCGCCTCAGGCGTCGTTTCTGTTCCCGGTTCGGGCAGCGGTCTCGGTTTACCCTCGTTCTCTGTCTTTCCCTGCTCAGCTTGAGGAGGATCAGCATCGTTGTTTTCTTCGATATTTCCTGCTTTTTTTCCTTGTGATTTTGCTCGTTTGCTGTCATGTTGCTCTTCTTGTTTGAATTCTTCTTGGCTGTTCTTCTCTGGTTGTTCTTTCTCCTTTTCCTGTTCCATGGCTTGTTCACATTTTTCTTCGCTTGGCGGTGATCCCTCTGGTGACTTTTTCGCATTTCCAGGGGTTTTTTCAGGAGATCTGTCTTCCGTGTTCATTTTCTGTTTCTTCCTATCTATACTGCTTTCTTCATCGTTTGGCTTATTTTGATTTGCAAGTTGCGGCGAATGATTGCCGCGGTTCCCTCTCTTTCTCTCGCTATTTTGAGCGGGTATGGACTTTGAATACGTTACAGATGGCCTTTTCCCTCCTTCATTCACCTCCATCTTCAGCTCCTTGATTGCGATCTTATTCTCGTCATCCTTTTCAGCGCCCTTCTTTCTTTCCTCCG